AATATTATATTACCTGTCATGCAATATTAACGTAATTTACACGTACTGCGAATTATAGAAACAGTGCAGCGGAGATGCACACGCTGCAGTGGAGCGAAATTATGATGATTTCGGGCGTATTCGCTTTAACAAGGTGCCTAATTGCGCACCTTCGTGCTGTTGCGTACGGCGAAAGAGAGCAAGGGCTAATTAGAATCATCGACACCGGGCGCCGTTGCCCTTGGCTTCACCGAACTATTAGCCTGCGTTGATCGCGTGTCCGAACGCGACTTGTTTCATTAGCAGATTAGGGTCGATTCGTTTATTCGCCGACGCGACGACAATTTCGATCAATTAAGTTAATGCACTTGCAGAGCCGCGTATCTTCATCACGCGAAGCGCGGCTGCGCCTCTCCATTTAACAAACATTTGTTACAACAGTAATAAATGGACTAATAATTGATTAAGCCACTTGCAAGGATTGAAAAATAAAGTGAAATTATTGTAACAGAAACCAGTTTTAAAATTATAACTGTCGCATTGCGAGCTAAACAAGAAACAAAGTGAAATAAACAATATTCTATTGCGTTTAATGAAGTGCCTTAAAGTAGCAGTGACTGTTACAAATGGTTTTTACTTTATATGTCGAAATTAAAAATCTGAAGGAAAAAAAAGTATAATATACTTAATATAATATAAATTTCAAATAAATGTCACAGCAAGTTATAAATACATACGCTTTGTGCAATGCACAAATTTGCGATATGTGATTAAAACATATGATAGTAGTCTAAATACATGCGCGGCGAGACCAATATTTCTGTTACACATACGCGAGACGTTTGATTTGCAAGTAGAGATTATCGGATCTCAGAAACAGCTAAGTTGGTCGAGTTTTTAATAAGTTCAAGTGGTAGCTCGAGTTTAAATTATATGAGAAAAGTGCCTTTTCATTTTTTTGTATTCTACAAGCGAATATATTATAATGCAAAATTTCAATGTTAAATTTTCTACTTAAAAGATGTATTGGTCGCCATCGACAATTGTATACGATTGTAGTTTTCGGCACAATACGACGTTTGCAAACCAGACATTTTCTTGCCGAGTCGAGAGAAATTATTGAGAATATTTCCAGCGTTTCCCTGACAACGTCTCAAATACATATACGTGTCCGTGCGAGGAAATGATGTTCCTCAAATGCAAAAGGGAAAACACGTACGGATGTCCTGGGCTTAGAATTTCGACAGAAGCTTAGGCAGAAGAGAACTGCGCTGCAATTCTCGCTGCTCTGCCTCGATTATTCAAATGCGAAATTTTGCGCGCTTTACTATGTGCTTTCAACATGTTTGTAATAAATTAAAATAAATAACAGCATTTCATCCAAGAGAAATAACTTAATAATCTAATAACATGATTTAACGATCTCTCTGGAACATATGTGTAATGACACTTTGGCTTTCGGGTTGGAGCCTCGTAAGTTTGCCATTTTATTCAAACGTTTTGAATATTTTAGTTCACTTCCTCAGGAACAACCTGAGCTGTTTCTCAGGAGTGTCTTTATGTAAGTAACTGGCCACGTAGAGAAGACAGTGGAGAATAAAGGAGTGGAAGGGAGAGGGAAAATTTGGCTGGCCAATCAAATTTCCAATTTGAAGTGAATTGAAACGTTCACGAAGTGCTGGGATAAAATAGCAAACTCACGCGGCTCGGAAGCCAAACCTAGTGTTCTTGTACACCGCGAAAGCCTCAAATATCACATGTATAGTGATACTATATTTAATTAAACATTTTTATTAATTTTAATATATTACAACATTATCGCAGACGCATGGTAAAGCAATGTAGATAATGAAAAAGCGTCAAATCCTCATTTGACTTTGCCTATTCTTAAAAAATAATAACATATTAATATATCTCTCGCGTTAATCACGAGACACGGTAGTGTCTCGCGCCAAGTATAAGCGAAAAGTTTTAAAGTGACAAGCTAAACCACGCGCGCGACACCGACCGTATAGTTTACGCGAGAGCGCGAGTTGACGGGCGCTCAGAATCTCGGATCTCAACAACGGCTGATCCGACGAACTTGAGACTGCGCTTAATCGATATATTATATAACTCTACATATGATGAAGTATATTAGACGTTTGTGTTTTGAATGTTTTTAAATCTCTTTTTGTATCGAAAAATACTTTTATAATATTTGTATCTAGCTACACACCGTTTATTCAACTAATGTTGGTACACTTGGCGCCTTTTTCTCCCCCTTTTTAAACAGATAATTAATATTGACATAATATTCAAGAGTTCACAAATACTGTTTAATTTTGTAGTAAAAATGCAAATAATACTTTTCAGAGATTCTTTACCTCTTATGCTCTGTGATACTGGCTGGTTTTGTAGATAAGCACGCTCACGCGTGCTATTTTGACATTTTGAAAATACTCTCTTTTCTCACGCATACCGTTCGCGTATCGAGTTTCTATCAGCGCGAATTATCGATGGGACGTTATCACGAAACGATATTGGAGCCTTGAGAGTCACGAACTTGGAAATAATTCGGCCGGATGGCTTAATCGATTCTTTTTTTTTCTTTCTTTCCTTCAAGTTTAGAGCGAAATAAAATCTAACAGCTGGAATGTAGCGCGCAATAAAAGTGTTAGGGCTTTTATGAAGGTGGTAAAGATAAAGGAAGTAGAAACGTTTTATAAGAGACGTAGCAGAATAATTCACTTTGCCCTTACAACTCGATACGCACTCCTTTTATCATGCGAAGTTGCACTAATGCAATATTCGTTGTATGCATTATCTCGTGATATTAAACGGAATCTTATTACCATCTACTTTAATAATACTTAAAAATTATATTCGACAATAATGTATGGCTGGCCATTTTTTATCTAAAGCACATAATAATAAACAGTAATAAATACAAATATTTTTAACGTATCGCGATTTTCAATAAGTAGATTAAATAATTAATCTCACTTTTGCATTTCTTCAGTTCAAAATTAAACGTAAGTTTACGTAAATCTCTATATAATACAAGAATTATTCTGTTTTTATCTGCGGTTTCTATTTTCATCTTTTCGATCCGTAAGTAAATATAAAATTTTAATGGTTAATCAGTTTAATTGAGTGCTCATTTCGACTTTGCATGATGTTATTAATCTTCCTTTTCTTCGCCTTTTAAACCTTAAAACCCCTTCACAATTAACTTTTATTTTATGAATACCGTCGTCTATTATCGATAAGATAAAAAAGGGTTGATTAAAGTATGCGCAGTAACATACTGTAATCGTTTTCGCTAATAAGGAAAAATGCATAAGAAGATTAATCTTCTATGAATTACTGAGAGCTTTTTATCTAAATATATGTACAATTTTTAATGCAATTTCAAAGTTTTGAATAATGTAACAATATATTATCAATTTTGTAAATATGTTATTATTCGTGAAATTTTGAAGATATAAAAAAGCGTGTTTTCAAAAGCTCATCGATATTTAATCATCATATCACTAGAAATTACCTCGAATATTTGAAAAAAAGGTTTTGAAAAAAAGTTTAATTTTGAAGGGGCAAAATAACAGTATAAATTTTAGCGTGATAAAAGACCACACGCACACGTGTCAAGATCTTAAAATTCTTTACAGGAAATTCTCATTTTTCATTGCAGATTTCGATCTCTTACGAAAACATTGTCGGAATAGTAGTTATAGATACATTCTGAATTATGAGTTTGAATAAAATATAAATACGTTATCACCGGCATCAACATTATCAACGCTATACCGCGGAGGTTGCATGGTCGAATTTATACCTCTTTGCGCAGATGCGTGTCACCAACTCTCTATTTAGTTGTTATTCACATCGGTCAAGTTTCGCCTATTATTGTTTATTTTATTTCTGGTTTTGAAGCACAGGTATTCAATAGTCAAAACGTTTTGTGTATACGTATATAGAGACTATTTCTGTCATAATTACTGCAGTCTTTGTATATAATAATACATACATAATAATAATAATTTGTATATCATTTGTTATATTCCAGCACATAAATCGAAGTTTATTGCGAGACAAACTATGCGCGCAAAGAGATGCGTAAACATAAAGAACACAAATTTAACCGCAGAGAACAAATATTGCACCATTAACTTCATTATTGTTGCACAATTGTCCTACCACAAGTCTTATCGCACTGTTACTTAACGGTAATATCAAAGATGCTGATGAAATAATTGAACGGTTGGCAATATGCACTATGCGTCACAGCTATGACGTAAATTCTGTTCGTATTCATACTAAATTATTAATTAAACCTTACTGCGACTGAAGTGCACAATGCAACGTCATATAGCATTTAGTTACAGTCCCACGCATTATGATATGAAAGCCCTTTTCAAAGACAAGTCAGAATGTATTATATTAATAATTCCCCGTGGATTATGTTTGGAATACAGTATCAGAATTTATCACTGTGCCGTATACGTATTGCAAGTAAACGGTATGCCTCTAAGCTACAGATGTTGTCATGTTAATTAATATCAGCTATGTGTTCCTCTGTTACGTTTGTGCCAAAGCACGCGTATAAAGATATTCATGGAATGGGAAGCGAAATGAGAAGTTTATGCAAATATTTCAATTTGTTATTACAGAAACATTAGTTCTTACCTAATATATACCTATATGCACACATCTATAATAGTATTTTTGATTGTACTCCTTTCCACTAAATCAAGGCAGTGAATTGTCCATGTTATTATTTAGAGTTATCAAAATTAAATATAACGTTAAATAAAATATTATTTAATCGTGCATGCGCGTCTCGCAATCTTTATTCAATCTTCTATCGCGGATACTTGATATTTCCTCGCAATGATAGCTGAATATACCGGGTGCTCCGGATGCCTCGAATTGTTTTACATCCAGACATTCTTGCTCTCGCACATCTTTTCACATTACTCACTTTCGCATACGCGATATAGAAGCGCGACAAAGTTGGTCTACGACAATGCTTTTTTCAGAGAGTCTCGGCGATACTACTGGCGACGATGCTGGCGTTAAGGAACTCCAGGAACTTCGAGACAAATACGAGGGGAAGCTGACGGCGTCTCTCTACACGGGAACACTCTGCGTCGCTGCCATCGCCTCGCTGATCGCCCTAGGCGCTCTCTGCTTTGCTGACTATGTAAGAACCATTAATAATCCGCCTGTTTTAAATTAAAAGTATTACTTCTTTCACATCAATCAAGCAGCAATTAAGTAACGGTTGCTTTAGGATAGGAAAAATCTGTCTAAAAATACGTTCTTGTTATATTAACTAATCTCATCTGCTCAGAAAAACTTTAGGAAATTTCGAACATTTAGGATAAAATTAAAAATTGAAAATCCCCCCCCTTTCTTATTTTGTTGTATCCTCGTTCTTTCGCCTTCTTTGTAAACCGCGACTCATACTTCGATTTATGATCAAAGAAAATCTATTTGACATAATCATTATTTTCAGCAATCAATGCTCATTAGCGAGATGCTCAAGTTTTCCTAAGTTGGTGCATCATATTACCTTTCCAAAGCAGAGGTTACAAGATGATGTTCCAAGTTGTAATTAATTTTCAATTAAAACTCCATCTAGTACTCCTTTGTAATGGATCGATATTGGTCCAAGGTGGCTCTCGGTAGGTTGCATATATATTCTTCGCGTACCTGTCTTGAAATTGAACCGCAGAGCGTTAACTGAGCCAAGAATTAATATTGATACCGGAGGTGCGAGGAGAGCCCAGGCAACACGCAAAATCTGTACAAACCGATACATTCACGAAGAATACATAAAACGTCATGCCCTAGGATTGGATCCCAGGATGGACAATGTTGATCTTTTTCAGCCAGCTATTCGCAAGACACTCGAGAAAATTGATTACGTGATTTATCTCAGATCGAAAAGTTCTTTTCCCGTTTTATCATTTAATGTCACGTTAAAAAGTGACATTAAAAGCAAAATCAATCATCGACGAGACGAATTGACATGCAGAAAAAGAAAAAAAAATTGATCGAAAGGACGAATTAAAATATGGGTCCCGGTGTGGGTTCGCGAAAAAATTTTTATAAAATACGAACATTTGTTGTACTTGTTTGATTTTTATTCATGCATACATTTGTATTCGTCTCGATATTCCCGATTTCATATTATATTTCGTCAATGCGACTTTCCCCGCTGTAATTCATAATTTTTAATTTTTTCTACTCGTTACTGCATGCTGTAGAAATACTCAGAGATGCAACATTTTAATTATTGAGTTAAATAGTGATATTTAAATAGTAAAAATCGTGTAAATTATGTTGAAAAAAAGGAGATAATGCTTTTCTGAACAGCTTCACAAATTTCATTGACAATGGTTGCCCGTGCTTAATAATACTAATTTATTTTTCAGGGGCTGTCCCACGTGATCGATCTTATACCTGCGTCGGCATTGACGACCATGCTCCTCGTCTCTTTGACATTTCTAGTGGTCACGCAATTACCTTCGACTATGGCCTCTAAACGGTCCAGGATATTAATAGGTTTAACATCCTCCATCATACTTGGTTTAGGAATTCTAATATTAAGAGGCGTCCTACCCCTGTTCGCTTGCATCCTATCAATAATCGCTATTCTACCTAAAATGAAGTGGCAAATACCGCTCATCATCGGCTGCACTCTGGCCCTCGCACACGTCTCGACAAGACTTATTGTCGACAATTTAACGAGCTATTACAACATAATTCAGGTAACGGTGTAATTAAACGCTGAATAGAAATATCTTTCTCCTAATTGACTTGTTATTGTAAAATGACGGAAACCTTATAGAAGTTTTATTAATTCATATACTGTTTCGAATATTTTTTAATAACTTTAATTTATTAGAAAAATTTAGAATTACGTTACGAAAAATATGTTTCGATAGATGTACGAAGGTACTGGGCATTTTAGAAAGATGTTCTTTTCATTGCGGACAGATTGTCGCGGAGATCATGTTCCTCCTAGCTGCCATCCTCGCAGGCATGTATTACAGGATCCTAACGATGATGGCCCATCGCAAGACTTTCTCCGGCACAAAGACAGTGATCGAATCACGAATCAAGCTTGAATGCGAGAGGGAGCAGCAGGAACAATTATTGCTCAGCGTTATCCCAGCCTACATCGCGGCGGAGGTGAGCTATAAAAATATATCGCCCCGTGATCTAATTAAAACCTTGATTACGATTCATCACGGAAGCATCCGGGTTGAATTTTTCGCCGCGCGGATACGTAATGAAAAGCTTTCTCATTGTTGCACTCGTCCAATTGGTTAACGTTTAAATTTCATCCTACGACGTTTGACTTGTGACTGTATTTAATTCACTGAACTGATTTAATGAAATCGCGATGAAATATGTGGGCGTTCGCATTTTGTACAGGCAAGCAGTGTTTCAAACGCAAAAGAAAATAAAAGTTCACGTGAGCGATTTTCCGAACGATTGTGTACCATCGGTACTTTGCGCACGCTACAATCTTGTGCGCAATCACACGATGGAGGCCGATTTAAGAAGTATCGGCGCTGCAATAAAAATCAGATGACAACTTTTCAAGTTCCCTGACGGAAGTAATTAACGGTTCGCGTTAAAGTTTTCTGTGAAATTAGACTGAAATTCGTAAGAACTTTACTTGAAAAGAGTCGGCAGAAGATAGCGGTGTTTACGGCAAAAGTTCGATGTCAGTTATTCGAAAGGCGTGGGTGGAGTAATGAGTCCGATTTTCTTTAATCTCATTAATTACATCTCCAAAAATGACCACCAGAGAACATTTCATCCCGGTATAGAATGTTACGCAATACAAAGTAAAGGATGATATATTTGGGAAGACGTATGGAAGACTCCGTCATTAGAGTTTAATGAGTGTATAAACGTTTTATTTGTGCAAATATTTGATGCTCCTTTTCATCGTACAAATGCCGAATGTCACCTGTTTTTGGTTTGAAATATACGTAGGTATATGATTTTTGCTATTTGTAAAATACGTTATACAGGGTGTTATGTAATACCCGCATCAACGCTTATTGTGGGATAGAGTGGACTAGACTAAGTCGAAAAGTCCTCTACCATTTTGCAATTTTCGCAAAAGTTAGCGAGTTATTAATTATTAAAAATCGCTGTCTTAGGCCGGCCCACTGCCCAATTGAAACGTGCGGCGAGATCGATCGATCGTTACTAGGCGCGCAGAGAGTTGTAACG